AAAAACTGGTCTAGAAACACTCTTTCAAAGTATGATGGATTGATACAGAGTCTCGCTGTGGATTGTCAAAGAGAGGGAAGTCGAGAAAATGAGAATCGCTAAAACGGGCTTTTTTGAATATCGCTAAAATTCACCCCATCTTTGGGGGTCGATATCTCGCGAACGGGGCGTCGGATGGGAAAACCCTTCAAATTAGTTTCTTATAATGATGTAAAGACCCCGTATACCAATTTTCAGCCAAATCGGAGGGGGTCGGGTTCCGACCTTGGTTGCGTTGACGTGGAATGACCCTATAGTAAAATGGAAGTCTGCAACGTCGCAAACGAGAGATAAGGTTCGGGAGTTTCGTCGTCAATATAGAGCTCACTCGCTGACAGCTATTTGGCTTACATTGTAGTTGTAATTTAAGTGACTAGCAGTTCGCAAATTAAGATTTTGTCATTTGATTGAAAAAGTTAAAAACGCCTTCAAAGATCAGTGCTGTGTTATGTGTTGCACATACGAGTCTGAGTGTTCTAAGATGTTTATGCCCATGCCAGAGTCAAAAGAGTTACGGACAATCGTAATCTGAGGCTGAAATAGCACAGTGTTGTTGATGAATAAACCAAGAACTCTCCTCTCTTAGACACTAAAATAAAAATATCCAGAAAAGCTTGAATATCACTTTAGATTGAAATCAAATTATTGGACAGAGCTTCAGATCGGCAAATGGATTAGTATCCCCAAATTAATTGATGAAAATCGGGCTAAATTGATGAAAATCGAGCTTAATTCAGAGAAATCGTAAATTAATTTATATATTACTTATTTCATAGTTTTAAATTCGATACCGGACTCTACCTGGAAGTTAGTTACGATTTTTAAGATTTTGCTCTGTAGAAGTTGAAATATTGATTGATTTGCTTCTTTTATAAAAGAAGGAGAAAAAAAGACATTTTCAGGAGTATGGGACATCTCATTGCAAGAGATACAGTCGTTTTTGATATTACTGTGAGGAATATCAGTTTGTATGTTTAAATCATACACTTCTGTGAAACTAATGTCCTCGAATCGTTTTTCCTACAGATTCATTCACTATTAGCTCCATTACTGTACAATCCCTCCGATGTAAACCAGACTCCCGGCGTTCGAATCATTAGATTCGATCAGAACTAAATCGCTCATTCATTCAGGTTTACTCATCTCTAAGGTACAAACTCAAAGTCGCACTCACTCTTAAGTTCAGCTGCGTCCGGGGTGCAGGGTCCCTTGTCAGACATGCACTTGAAGTACGCCTCCCTCATCCTGGTGTTGTTCAGCATCTCGTTGACCGGGACCTGGACCTGCTTCTGGTTCTCCTGAGCACGGCCCACTGCCACCACAAAAACACACGCCAAAACCGCGCTGAGTGCACAGTACTTCATCATCTTCACCGAACTGATCGACGCGAACACGGAACACAAAACTAGAGAAGATGCTCTACGACGGAGGAATTCGGATTGATGTCAATTGAGGCTGTCAATTTGTTTATATACTTAAAAGTTCGCCTTCGAGTATCATTGATCGGGAGACTCTCAAACCCAGCGAAGCATCGCCGAAATAATTGATGATTGNGGGGGGGGGGGGGTCGAGTTTTCACTGAGGAAAACGTCGCGGCGGTGGCGGCCCTCGCCTGAGTGTTGACCCCTGAGGATCCAGCATCTTCCAGAGGTCATTGAGCAATTCGCGGAGCGTGACAACTAAAACGGGAACTGTTCAGTGAGTCGAGGCCTGGGCACACCAATCATAGAGCAATGCAACGGAAATGAGTGGATGCCTGCCGTAATTGCGGGCGCCTGCGCTGGATCAACGACTGTCAACAACTCGAGGAGGAAATTCCATCGGGAAGAAAACGAATCTACGTTTTCCGTCTTCGGGAACAACAAGAGATATTGGATACTGATATAAACTGATTTAGTGGCTACGCCATTCGATATAATATCGAACTCTCGGTTCAAACCAATACAAACGAACTAACATAACCTCATGTACGCATTTTTCACGAGTTAATTGTGTTAATTGATTAGAATTTAGTCATTGACCGGTAATAAATCAATTGAAGACTCATTAAACACGAAAAATTTCAATTGTAAGAAACACTTCACTGGGAAAAAAAAAAAAACACATTGGATCTAGAGTCCAGACTCTTAAAAATATCGACAAGAAAAAGTACTCTTGATTCAATCAGAATCTAGCTTAAATCAAGAACCAAGCCTCTTAATCTAAGCGGATTTCGTTTTGATTCAAGCAAAAATCCGATTGAATCAAGAGTATTTTCTCTTGTCAATGTTTTCAACAGTCTGGACTCTAGATCCAATGTGTTTTTTTTTTTTTTTTTTTTTTTTCAGTGTTGGACGCATTTTACTACCATGGCGTTTAGGNTTTTTTTTTTTTTTTTTTTTTTTTCCAGTGTTGGACGCATTTTACTACCATGGCGTTTAGGGTGCGAATCAGAAACAAGGCACTGAGTTTGTTCATATTTGAAACAAGGGTTCGATTTTATATCAAATGACGTAGCCACTAAATCAGTCTATTGGAAACTGCAAAAATTCGTATCTTCATTGCGGTATTTCAAAGTCTCCGATCCTATTTTATTCTTTAAAAAAAGACCAAACGTAAATCGTGCCTTGAAATTTTCACAGAATATTCTTCACGCAGAGGAGAGAAATCATCGGACTTTTCAAGAAATTACGATCAGTAGTTTTTGATGTGGAAAGTAAAATACGGCAGAAAATTTGCAATGCCACAAACCGAGGTACGTATTTTTGCAGTTTCACCATCGATATGTTCATGGTTGTGATCGGACACCGGCGTCGTCTGTCGCCATGGTTGTAATTGTTTAATACATGGTGCGACTAAATCTCAAAATTTGATCCTCGGCATAACCAAACGGTCAAAATTGGGTCAGTAGTGTATTCTAACTGTTACAGTTGGGTCACAAATGTAATTGAATTTCAATTTCGGTCATATTAGTAGCGCCGAGTGCAAAAATTCCGTTCTAGATTGCGATGTCTCAGAATTTCCGCTAACGTTTCATAGATTATTATCAAAGCAGATCTTTGTAATTCGTTGAAACTAAATATTCATTAAAATTTTACAATACTCTAAACGAAACATTTCAGAAAATTCACCGATAAGTTTCAGCTCCAAAATATAAATCAGCAGTGGAGATTATGGAACGCCACAACCAAGAAGTGCCTTTCCTGCAATCGCTTCAATTTTAACGAGGAAAAATACTCGTACTCGGAAAATTCATTCATCATGGCATCCAGCTTGCTGATTATTGAAATTGATAGGCAAAGCGATAGGCAAAGAATACGTAGGGATATGGAGCGATCCTATTGGTTGAAACGGGTGGTGCGTCAAGATTAACGGGAGAAATGATTGGCTAATTTTGCGGTCTCTTGTCGGTTGCCGTTAGATAGTCTATTACTTACCTCTTTTGTCCATTTCAATCACCCATCTCCACCAATAGAATCGCTTCGTTCGCCCTACGTCTTCACTGTCTTAGCTTTGCCTATCAAATACTATAATCAGGCCTTAGATTTAAAAAGGGCACGACGAAAATATTAAAATTGGTCGCAAATGTATGCAAATTTCGAATGCAGTGACAGCTATTACTAAGCAGAGGATGCGAAAACAAGGGAAAGACCGTGGGCCTGAAGACTATGCCATGTCAATACTCTGCCATGCTAAAAATGAACGCCGTAAGAGCTATTAAGGCGTTGCAAAATGTCCTTCGACAAATCACGAATTTTCAGGATAATTTGTGAACATTCCTGTTCCGATTTTCCAGAAGATTTCGTGCGTAAATTGATCTATAAAGCCTGCAAATTGCCTAAAATTTTTTCTTAAGGGTGTATTTGCAGACCAGATTCACCTACTTGCCGCCCATAGGCCGCCTGTATTTTGCCGCCCCTTTTTATTCATTTTAAAATATAAAAAAAACCATCAAGTGAACGTGCAGCGGGGAGGGGTGCATAAGACGCGTTTACTCTTGTTGGACACATTTTTTGCGAATCCCTGTCAACATTATTAGCAAAAGTTCACGGAACTTTGCGCGAAAGTTAAATTCCGTAAACCTATCTCTGTGTGGACAAGGCTTTCCATGTATAAGAAATGAACGAAAAAAGTATAAAGGAACAATCTGACTGACCGTACTGTGTTTGGCGCAATGCGTGAAGCATTCCTACAGTCTTGTAAGCGCCATGCGTTTCACGCCGACCGCTGCCGGCCGCACTGCGTTTGACGCAATGCGTGAAGTGTTCATGCAGTCTTGTAGGCGCTAATATGTGTTACATGCCGACCGCCGCGCCGCGCCGAGGGCTTCTCCTTTTCATCTCAAGTCCTCGTCATCATTGCTCTCTGCGCCGTTCCAGGCCAAAGTGCGTGCTTGGTTCCTCTCTTTTCTCGACTAATGGAGATGTTGCATGTGTGAGGAATTTGCGATTAGACTGTTGATTCTTACGTAAAAGTTCGCGAGAAACACGACGGTGCCACTGGTTTTCTCTGAAACAACCCCCAAGCTCAAAAAAAGCTCTCAAGTTGAGGCCAAAATGGGGGGGATATCCCACGCTATCCTGAGAGTCCACCTCTACATCAAGACGAACTCTCCGTGCAAAGATGGGGAGCAAATAAATTAGCAGGGATGCCGTGTTTTCAGTTTCGGAGTCCCCAAGTAAAGTGGCAGCCCTGTCAATGTATTTGCTCCCTATCTTTGCATGGAGAGTTTGTCTTGATGTAGAGGTGGGCTCTCAGGATAGCGTGGGATATCCCCTCCATTTTGGCCTCAACTTGAGAGCTTTTTTTGAGCTTGGGAGTTGATTTCAGAGAAAACCAGTGGCACCATCGTGTTTCTTGCGAACTTTATATAAGAATCAAAAGTCAAATCACAAATTCCTCACACATGCAACATCTCCATTACGGGTGTTAAACTAGAAAAAACATATGCATCTCATTTCATCGCTCCTCCGACGTTAGGGCGTACCTCGATTTCTTCATGAGCCCCAGAAAGAATTGATTGATATGTAAAATAGGGCTCTCGTGGAAATCGAGGTACGTCCTTATGTCAAAGGGACGACGATTTACGGCGGCGTGGCATCTCTTTTCAACTTTGAATAATTACATTCACATTTTTATAGAAAAATCTCAGTAGGACTTCATTTTTCAATTATTGCAGGTAAATTATTCAAATTTTCAGAAATATATAAAACTGAGACTCCTTTCCTGTATGTTCTACTATTGTCTTTTTAAATAGTGCTGTCAAGATTGAAGCATTCAAGTTGTAAATATCTTGCCAAAATTAAGGCTCAGAGAAGACTGCCTCATAAATATTTTTTCCCCGTGAAATACTATCAATAAGACAGATCCATGCATCAGTATCTATGTATTTGTTGTCATAATTTTGCGAAATAATATTTAGATGGTATAAATGAATAATGAATGGTAATGGAATATAATGGTAATGAATAATATTAATAATATTTGGTAACGTCACTTGGATGCAACTTTTAATACGTAGATGTTAAAATTAAAAACACGCGATTCAATCGCGATCTTTCAAAATCTCCGATGATGTTTTACTTAAATACTCAAAACTATATTTTTTTAAATCGTTTCTCCGATTTTTCTGCATTCGAGGAAAAATCAGTAAAAATTCAGAGAGATTATTTTTAGTAGATGTTAAAATTGAAAAGCACGTAATTCAATCGCGACCTTTCAAAATATCCGGTGATGTTTTATTTAAATACTCAAAACTATATTTGTTTAAATCATTTCTCCCATTCTTCTGCATTTGCGGAAAAATCGGTAAAAGTCCAGAGAGATTATTTTTATTAGTTTTTTTTTTTTTTTTTTTTTTTTTTTTTTTTTTTTTTTTTTTGAAATATACGTTGGGGAAGAATATGCAACGTCACAAAGTGAGATACATTATTCTCGACTTTCACGATCGATTTAACGTTGATATCCATAATCGATATTCACGAAAAAATATCCCCTCTTGACTTCTAGTCAAATTCTGTTATGTGATAAAAATTAGGTCAGGTTTCTCACTTGCGGTGATATTTTCATGAGTACCGGAAAATGTTATTTTTATCACATTTGCTTGTGGCGTCCCCTCACGTAGTTTCTATAAATTCTGTTGTGTTTTGAGTGCCTCCAGAAGCTTATTTGTCATTCAGAGGAGAAGAGTGTCTAGCGATTTTCCTTCGACAGAGACGAACTGAGATTCCACCAACGGTTTTTGACGGCCGAGTTTTGGCCACGAACCTGGAAAAGAAGATCTAGACAACCCGGACAGGTTGGACTGAGTCGGACCTCATAATTTTCACGGTCGAGAAATCTTGTCACGAGGACATTCGAGTCACCAGGTGACTTCCCCTTCCAAGATCAGATTTCATGCCGATCTTCAGACAGACCACTTTTAATTTCATTTCACCGGTTTTTCTTCATTAAATTGATACGTTGCTTTTTGGTTCCTTCCGTT